TGTCGCATTATTTGTGTTTCATTTATATTTAAAATAAATCTATGAGGCCTAGCACCAGCCTTTATGTGGAGACTAAAATATAGTTCTTGGCTTTTTTAAAATACATGTTAATTTCTATTAACGTACTCTCAGGAAACATGTATACAATCGAGTTAATTGTACTACACCTATGATCAAAGCCGGACACAGCGCTTGTGATCAAACACCAGTTGATAGACCACCTGTGATCAAAGACCCTCTGCTGAGAAACCACATGTGGTCAAACCCCCTATGGTCAAACCCCCTATGATCAAACCCCCTATGGTCAAAGCACCGCTATGGTCAAAGGCCCGCTGTGGTCAAACCCCCTATGGTCAAAGCCCCTATGGTCAAAGCTCCGCTGTGGTCAAACCCCCTATGGTCAAACCCCCTATGGTCAAAGCACCTGTGGTCAAAGGTCCGCGCACCTTCACAGCGACTTTCAATCTAATTATTACATTTTTTAACAAAGAATGATATTCATCCGAAAGGATGGCGAACAGTGTCAAAAGATATGAAAATAATTTGATATCGTATAACTTGAAATATATATATTATTTTTCAAACCGTTCGCAGCGTAGAGTTCGAAAAATTGGGGTTTCGAAGTTTTAATAAACATTTCTGGAATATTTTTGGACAAATTAGACCATCGTAATTTACATGAATAAAAGACAAGCTAAGACTATATAAAAAAAATCCCCTGAATCCGCTGGCCATTTCTTTTCTCAAAAGATTGACGAATCAATACATAAAATATGTTTGCAATTGTGAACGTTTGACCACTCTTCCGCTATTCGATTTTGCACTTACAATACTTACGAGGGAAAAGCCAAGTTTCAAACTATTAAAATTTTGCCAGTTTTATTAAAGGTAATGTCCCTTGCATTCATTATTTTTAGACGGAAAAGGCACAATAAAAATGAATAAGTGCTTTCACGCAGTAGATACAAAATATATATAGAATATTTGTATGTAGCATTATGTAAAAATATATGTTAAACAAACATGCCAAAGCAGTGTTGTAACATACTTTCGTTTAAAGTAGTGTGTCGGCATTTTAATAAATCGCTGTTGTATTTGACCCTGCTGTTTCAAACGAAAACAAAAATAATTTTATATTTAAATTTTATTAAAAAATTTTTTATTCTTAATGTACCCTTTTCTATTTTTACAAAATATATTTTATTTTAAAATATATTATTTAAATCTGATACATGAATCAAATGCATTACAATTATAATAAAAAGCATTGACACCTTTATTCCGTTGCTTAAATAGAGACTGAACAAAAAACAACTGGTAATCGCCGGATAAGATAGATCTTCTACCATATAGGCTGTGGCTATCGATAGTTCAGCACACTGGTTTCGTCTTGTGTTCTTTTGTTTCCAACATGTATTAATTGCATTATCCACTATTTTGGATTTTAACAATTTTTATACAGCCTTAATATTTAAGAATGGCCACATTTCTAATATAACAGCTACAACAGAGTTACAAGTCAAGCACAAACATTGAAAACATATGAGTCTTCTGTAAAATATGGTCATATGATTTATAATAGCTGTAGTGTTTGACAGGTAGAGCAATTCCGGCTACATTGAAGAGTTAATATATCTTGCCTAAAAATTTGACTTCATACATATCTATATTAACTTGCCGTATTTCGTGTTTTTCTATTTTATTCTGGTATTTGATAATAGCTAAAAGGTTATTTAGCGGTTTTTTTAATTATATTTATTTTGTCAAAGCTTTTAACATAATTGTTCATACGTTAAGCGATTAACATATTATGATTATATATATATATATATATATATATATATATATATATATATATATATATATATATATATATATATATATATATATATATATATATACATATAACTTTACATATCAATATATAACTAAATAAATGAAGTATATATATATATATGTATATATATATACATATAAATATATATATAAATATATATTTTATAGATAGCTTTATTTTATATATAATTTTATATTATAACTTTACATATCAATATATAACTAAATAAATGAAGTATATATATATATATGTATATATATACATATATATACATATATATACATATATATACATATATATATATACATATATATACAGATATATATATATATATATATATATATATATATATATATATATATATATATATATATATATATATATATATATATATTTATATATATATATATATATATATATATATATATATATATATATATATATATATATATAAATATATATATTTTATATATATATATATATATACATATATATATATATATATATATATATATATATATATATATATATATATATATATATATATATATATATATATATATATATATATATATATATATATATATATATATATATATATATATATATACATATATGTATATATATATTTATATATATATATATATATATATATATCTATATATATAAAAAGCAATGTATGTGTGTGTGTTTGTTTGTTTGTCTGTCCTTTATGCATTACTACACCTCTCATCACATTGCCGTGAAACTTTGGGAAGTTGTTGAGAATATTCCTGGGGAGGTTTCTGCGAAAAAAAAATTTCAAATTCGCAGGGGTGGCGCCCCGGCAGGGCGCGATTTGTTTTTTCTCTATATACGGTATATAAAAATAAAAGTCTATTTTGATTTCACGCTGTTCATCCGATAGGCATGAAACTTTGGGGAGTTCGTTATAACCCTCTAGGAAAGGGTTATGTAAAAAAATAATTTTTAATTTCGCAAGGGCGGCGCCACGGGAGGGTGCGATTTTTCTCTATATACGGTATATAAAAATAATAAAAGTGAATTGCAGAGACACCGTTCATCCGATAGGCATGAAACTTTGGGGGTGTTGATTAGGACACTCTGATGAAGGGTTCTGTAAAAAAATCATATTTAATTTCGCAAGGGCGGCGCCACAGGAGGGTGCGATTTTTCTCTATAATACGTATATAAAAAAATAAAAGTGAATTGCGGTGACACCGTTCACACGATCGCCATGAAACTTTGGGAACATGTAGAGAATATTACTGGGGAGATTTCTGCGCTAAAAACATTTTCAAATTTGCAGGGGTGGCGCACCGGCAGGGCGCGATTTGTTTTTTCTCTTTATGCGATATATAAAAATAATAAAAGTGAATTGAGGTAACACCGTTCACACGATCGCCATGAAACTTTGGGGAGTTCATTATAAAACTCTAGGAAAGGGTTCTGTAAAAATCATTTTTAATTTTGCAAGGGCGGCGCCACGGCAGGGTGCGATTTTTCTATATATACGGTATATAAAAATAAAAGTCGATTTTAGTGAGACACCGTTATCCGATAGCCATGATACTTTGAGGGAGATGATTAGAACAATTCAGGGAAGGGTTCTGTAAAAAATAATTTTTAATTTCGCAAGGGCGGCGCCAGGGGAGGGTCCAATTTTTCTCTTTTTACGGTATATAAAAATAATATAAGTGAATTGCAGTGACACCGTTTATACGATAGGCATGAAACTTTGGGGAGTTCGTTATAACTCTCTAGGAAAGGGTTATGTAAAAAAATAATTTTTAATTTCGCAAGGGCGGCGCCACGAGAGGGTGCGATTTTTCTCTATATACGGTACATAAAATTTCGTTTTCACACCGTTCATCCGTGTAACATGAAACTTTGGGGAGATGATTAGATCACTCAATGGTAGGGTTCTGCAAAAAATATTGTTTTATATTGCAAGGGCGGCGCACCACAGGGGGGAGCGATTTTTTTCTCTATACACGGTATATAAAAAATAAAACTCGGATGCGGTTCATCCGAGTGCCATGAAACTTTAGGGAGTAGACGAGAATACTCCTGAGAATATTTCTGCGAAAAAGAAAACTAAAGTTTCTTACGGGCGGCGCCATATAGGGTAAAACTTTCGTCAATACACGGTTTGGCGCCCAGAGTTTTAGAGCGACTATGTTGGCACTTGGCATCCGTTAATCGAGCGTCCTGCATTCAGCGGTAAAACTACAACAGGCTTCTAAAAATAACTTTGTAACGCGAGGAAATCCTGTATAGTTTCGTCACCTTGCGAAAGATGAAAAAATAACGGTTTGAATATGAGGAACCTACTGTAGAGTTTCGTCACTTTGCGAATGATGCAATAAGCATCTATTATTAGACGATCCAGGCCGAAATTGAGACCGAGCATCTAATAATAGACCATTAGTAACGCTAGCATATTGCATCAGTCAAACTGATGTTGAAAACACGTCAAATAATTTTGTGGTAAAGAAAAAAATCCTGTTCATTTGTGTCACTTTAGCGAATGACGAAATCTGCATCATTGTTTACAGGATGCTATTTGGCACGCTGGGTTATCCTATGAGCACGATGACGCCTGTTAGTTTTAAGGAGCCAGGGGCCTTACGCTGCGCCTCTGCGGTAGTGTAATCAGGGGTAGGAGAGCTCCTGAGAGTGCCCCTCTACGTCCCTGACATATGGGTGTTCACCGAAGTGTGTTCTAACTAATTATTTCGGTGAGTGATTAATATACACTCAAGGTTTTCATGCGGTAGTGTAGGAAAACCCGTGTCCCGATAATTATTATCCAAGCGCAGGCATTGTTAACATTTAATAACACAGTTTTAGAAAACAAGGTGACGCGTCTAAGAACATATGATTGGTAATGCATTGGTGATATCCTTCTAATATATTTCGTCAGACTTTATTCTATCCCCGCGGCAACGCGCGGGGGACGGGTACGCTAGTATATATATATATATATATATAGATAGATAGATAGATAGATAGATAGATATAATGTTTATCAGTATATTCAGGTCAATACAGAAAGTACGAGTTAAGATATTAATGCAAGAATGTCTTAAAAGAACTTAGGTTATAACATAGGAATAATAATTCAGAAATCGTAACAATGCATGTATTGTAGAATAAAGGTCTTTATTTTGAGAACATTCCTTCGATAATTCACGCTTAACTAAAGTGATGTTTCTCTGTTAGTTCAAATTAACGTCATTCTGAGGTTGTACATCCATACGTCAGCTTATTGTGTCTAGTAAATATACACAAACATATAATTTTAAATTTCTAATAAATAAATTATTTTATAATTTTATAAACAATAGTGAAATAATTACTTTACTAATTCAAATGTAACGTCTATTTCGAAATTGACTGTTTGATTAATGTTCATTAATACTACATAAAATATTGTTAATATAAAAAGTATATGTCATACTTGTAAGTGTCTATTTTCCTCCAAAAAATGAAACAACTGTAAATATAATAGAGTAAAATAAGTTGAGAAATAAAAAAAAAATATAATACAATAATTTTCAAAAAAAAAATGTAAAATATATTTTTTTACATGCATTGAATCCAGCCTTGAGTGCATTACCAACATCATTTGCTAAACAGATAAAATAAAAAAAAGATTGTTAAATTTACAAGCGGTGTATTAATTCACACTAACAACCGTTTTCATGTATCATGAGAAAAGTATAAAACTGTGTTGCATGGCGCCCTGATGTGTTTTTAAAAAAAATCTATAATATTTTTTAATATAACACTCTAGGTACTGTGTCATTCTATTGTTTACTCAGCGGTATAGTCTTTGTAAGATTATACTTTTTAATGGTGGATGTGCAGTAAGAGGTTGAACTTCGAGACGTCTACCTAGACAAAGCAATGAGGGGAAGTTATTGAGAAAACCGGGTAAACCAACATGACATTATTTATAGAATCGTCCCATTACTATTAATTTTAGCTTTGACTTTAGCGATATTTAGTTTTTTTAGTTTCTGTCAATTAAAAATATTTGAACGACCAAACGTTAGGCTGATTGGTACTAACATGTAAAATAAAATAATGAAATGAACCATTAGTTAAAAGTTTCACCTGTATCCTTCAGCCCTTTAAACACTTGCTCTGAGACCTTTACCACTCCTGTCGCTGAAAACACAATAAAGCCTAGTAAAAAATATAAAAGAAAATCAAGATGTAAAGGTAATTTTAATATTAAGTCTTGAAGCGAATGTTGATTTTTTTACATGAAATGTGGATGTGTCTATCTAAACATAAAGAAAAAGTTTAAACTTACTTTGTTCAATTCTTTTTTATTTAAAATCGTAAAGATTGTATATTTAATTTTAATATTATTTTTTCTAGATCAACACAACATGAAACGAAAAACAATTTCGCAGTAGATTTTTAAAACTAGTTTAATCTACACATTTTAGTCTGAATATATGCCTAATCAAATTATTATTATCAATATATGACACTTTTTCCTCGCTCATTTGAATTTAAATGCATTCATTTTTTTACTAGTCTACAGAACCTAATGTACGAATGGAAACTAATAATTTACATGCAGTTAACAAAAACAAGGGAAATAACCCTAGCTTCTAATAACCAACAACTAGACAGGTGGGCCTTTGGCTTTACTTTTTCAATATTACGACGTCAGGCTAGGAGGCGGAGGGACGAGGGAGGGGAGGGGAATTGAAAACCCCGTGAATCAAAAAGAGTTTCATTTACATGCAGTCTTGAGTCCGTCGTATATTTTATCTCCTACGTACACGATTCCATCAACTGAATTTATGAAAAAAAGTTTAATCAATAAAAGTGAAAAAAAAGTAAATTACAGTGTGTTTTTAAAATGTAGTAAAATATAAAAATATAAAAGCATTACCTGTCACTTTAACTCCTGTTTTAAACTGATCACCGATCCACTGTCCTATCAAAATAAAATCAATCAAATATTATTAGAAAAGTAGATTGTTACGGTAGAAAAAGTATTGAAAGATAAAATCATACACATTATTACCTGCTCCAACCGTTTTGGAAATCACTTCACTCAAGCCATGTTCTTTAATGGAAAAATATATTTTAGCGCAGATTATAAATTAAAGTGACAAAAAATTTTCATTAAAGTTGTATTAGGTTTTTTTTTTTATTTTTACAGGCACAAATTAGATACTTTATTAATCAATAGAATTTTTTATTTTATATATATATATATATATATATATATATATATATATATATATATATATATATATATATATGTATATATGTATATATAATTCCATAACTATGTTAACAATTTTATTATATTAATGAACTCAGAAGCCTACAAAATAAACTTCAATATATAACTAAAAGTACTAAAACATGAAAACATGTTTATAGAACACTGCGATGAACAATGTAAGCAATTAAATAAAAATAATGTTTTTGCTCTACTCAAAAGTTATAACCTTTTATTTTCATAAAATGTGTCGTTGACTAAAAAAAGGCGAACTCCTTAAAACAGAGTTAATTTTAGAAACTGTAAATTTCAAAATTAGCAGAACTAGAAAATTACTAAAATTACTCCTGTAATTTACCTGTTTCATGATTAGGCGCCACTATCACAATTTCTCCTATTTCAGAAAGATTTTTTTAGAATTATGAAATCATATTAAGTAAGGATTTCTATGAAAATGTGTGTATAAGTCTAAGCCAGTATTTATTTTTGTGAGCGAGTATGGGAGTAGGATAGTGTGATTTTGTACGTGTGTGCGTATATATATGCTAATTCGCCTTTCTGAATATGGGTTTGTGATATGAGTATTATGTTTGTGTTTGCCAGTGTGGGTGGTGGGTGAGTACTGCATAGATGTTAGATTCTATATTACAATTAACTCACTCTATTCAATAAAAAATGATGTTATTCTTAAAATACGAAACACAACTAGCTGTAAATTATTTTATTTACCATCCGGGTTCTTTTGTGATATCTGTATACACTCCCATGGGATAATGTTGCCTTAAATGTATAAAATCGACATACTTAGAATATCTATGCAATGAAATATAATTACAATAGCCTATATATATATATATATATATATATATATATATATATATATATATATATATATAGGTATATATATATATATATATGTATATATATATATATATATATATATATATATATATATATATATATATATATATATATATATATATATACAGAGAGAGAGAGAGAAAGAGAGATAGAAAGAGATTAAATAGACTGTACTATAAAATGTATAAAGATTGTATTTTTAAAGAATCTCCGTAATTTAAACTGTAATATTTAGTTGCTACTTTGGCCTTGACTCTAATGTTAATGCGGGTTAATTTGGCGCTTTGTGCGTTTCACTACTCCAACAGTTATGATCTTAATTTCATTATATAAATTAAAAAAACAGAATTTTATGGTAAATTAATAATTATATAATTACCATTGCTATCCTTTTTAAGAGGTTGTTTATTAAATCCCCACACAACCATTTTGTTTCCTTTAGGATCTAATAGAAGAAAAACATCAGTAAAAGAAATTTCATCACTTGCAATAATATCATGTTTCTAAAATAAAGTATTCTAATCTCTAAATTGAAATTTTATATTTTTAGATAGTTTTTTAAAATTATTATTGGAAACGAATCATTAAATAAAATAATTAACTCACAATTCTATTGGATATACATATTTTGTTGTAAATTGTATTTGCATTCTACCACATACAGAGGCGTAGCAACCCTTCCCGGCGCCCGGGGACAAACTTTCAATTTGGCGCCCCCTCAACTTTTCGATTTGCACCCCCCTCAACTTTTCGATTTACACCCCACCCCCCTCAAACTTTCGATTTGCACCCCCCCCCCCCCTCCCTTGCAAAAATGCAGCTAAATTGACATTTTAATTTGTTTTTACAACCCATTTTGACGCCCCCTAAGGTCGGCGCCCGGGGACATATGTCCCCCCCCTCAGCCCCCCCCCATCGCTACGCCTCTGACCACATAGAATTTGAACCCACTTGCCTAGATTCAAGTGCTGAGATTCACGATCCATAACTCTTCTACAGGGCTGAGATTCAGGACCTACAACTCTACGACAGGTCTAAGATTCAGAACCAACTACCTTATATTCCAGGACTGAAATTTAGAACCAATTAAACCAATACTTTATAACTGCGACTTGGAACCCACAACAATATATTCCAAAACTGCAGGTTTGGTACCAAGTACCCTATATATTAGGACTGAAATTTGGAACCCATAACACTATACTATAGGAATTTAATTCAGGAAAGATAAACATTTACGCACCCGTTAAAAGTGTCCCCAATCCAACAATCCTACTGATATGCTTATTCTATCCCCCTAAAGCTATTATCTGCTAACTTGTCATTGTAATAACATAACTTTTCCGATTGCTTAAAATTTGTATAATTTTAATTCTCTGTAATCCCAATTTTTTTTCAGCTCTATTTAAAAACCCAAATCCCCCCCCCCCCTGTCCCCTCAGCCCACCACGCACGCCGAGAAAAAAAAATCCCTTGAATCACCATTTAATAACACATTTGCATTTTCAGTTTCAGGTTGGTTTTTAATTTTTATTTATATTTAAACGTTTTGTATTAGATCTATGTATAAGTAAACCATCTTAAATGAATGAAAGTAGGCTACAAGTAAGAAAGAAATATTACTATTGTAAATCTGTATCAGTCCTCACAAGCCGATGATGAAAACTGTAACACTAAAGCGAACACACAACTGACGCTATAAATTACGTGTCTGAGGCGAAAAAGAAAAAAAAAAATCTGCTAAATTGTCACTACGCGTGCTGAAAATGGTTTCGTCAGTGTAGGCCTATATTGTGAAACATATTTCAGTGTACTTTACCCTGGAAGAATAAAAATATTTTGTTTTTTTACAGCAGTCGAGTTTATTTTTTTTCCTGATAGCTGAATCGCATAAACTGGCAGAGTTAATCAATAGGATAGCAAACAATACAATATTGAAAAAAAAATATTGTGCTAATGTATAAAATCACCCGGTAGCTCAAATCTTCTATCCAAACTCTGTACTCGTTCAAAGGAGCAATCAGACAAGAGTCCTGTGAATAAGAATAGACAAGGATGAACAGTATATATATACATGCGTGTGTGCTTGCGTGCATGTGTTTGTGCGTGTGTGCGCGGGTGTGTGCGTGCGTGAGTCGTTACTTAAATAAAAATCTCAGATTAGAAATTTCATAACACAATAGTTGATCCACATCGACAAATTGTAGAATTCATTTACAACATCTTGTATAAAAAAATATGCCTACTTACTCATTTCCTCATCTTCCGATACATAATCGCAAGCCCACGCTAACACTTTCCCTGAATAAAAGTACAGGATAACGTGTTTAATTAGACTGTCTAACAATGAAATATCAAATAAAATGTAGCAAGTAACCGGTTAATATTTAAAATTTAGATTTCATCTTTATTGTGTAATACTAGTTTAAACTGATTTTTTTTCTCTATTAAACTATTTATTTTCTAAATGGTGGATATTTAATTACCTTTAGACTTAATTGCCTTTTCTTTTATTTCAGATAAAACTGTAGAAATATATATATATATATATATATATATATATATATATATATATATACATATATATATATATACATATATATATATATATATATATATATATATATATATATATATATATATATGCATATACATATATATGACAATAAATGTATGCCTATACATATTTAATTTTAAAATTAAAAATGTATGATCCGTTAATTGTCGATCCTGCACATAAGCGGCTGCCCGCGTGAGCAGCACCATTTAGCAGCACAAAAACTATTAATATTATGACTTAAATTAGTACCGCTAACCTCGTTAATAAAGATTGTTCCGCGTATAAAGTTATGTTTTCAGATTTTATTTCCCCACTAAAACCTCTATCGCCAGATAACCCACTGTTGATGATATAATTATTTTTGACGTGGTCCAGCCAGTAAAGCTGTGGTTGTTTTACCCAAAAGTCCCGAGTTCGAACCACCAGGCAGATGTGGCTCTAGCTGGGGCAGCAACAACCCGATAAGAGAGACAACTCCAAAGTCAAACAACCACAGAATGGACACCAGTGAGTTGACGAAAATCCTTCCGTAATGTTGTTGACATGGAATAAAAATGTGCTTTTTTTTAGATTTAGGACCATAAAAATAATAAAAGATAAAAATTTATTAAAAACTTAAGCCTAAAATTAATTCAGAAATTTAATATTTTTAGAATCAATGCTATACAAGTTGCAGATCCAGAGAACTTGAAAATAATTTGTTGAATTTAAGGCTACATTTCTATTTATTTTCATCAAGCCTAAGTTATAACCCGATGTTTCACTTTCGTAAGACAAACATTGATTGCTTTAAAGGAACTCCGTGATCGATTTTTGACAGCCCCACTTTGTAGTTATTTTGTTTACAAAACTTTGCAGATCAAGTTTTTAAATACCAATGCAAATTTAAACACCATGACCTAGTTTTTCTATTTTTAGCTTACAATGTGTACAATAAAATTTATGGCGGCCTATCGAATAGCAGGATGCCATTGTTTATGTCGCCATTACACGTGAAAACCAAATTGTTTTTGCTTTGACACGTAGTCCTAATACTTGACATTTCAATAAGGAACGAAGAAGAAATAAAAGTGTAGTTATGATCAGATATAAAGTATAAAGAGAGACAAATAGAATACACATTTATATCGCAATCAGCTGCAACAAACAGTTTTTGTGATTTAAAAGGAAAATGTAATGTATCCTTTTTTAAGTAGGCTACACAAAATTGCCCTAACAAATAACTTACTACGTTAAATTATTTTTAGTTAATTCAGTTAATTAGTCAGTTCCGCTTACAGTACAGTGGCATAGTTACATGTCAATTTCAACAGCCAGCCGCCTCATAATAATGTCGCAAAAATCCAATAATACTCCAAAAAGTACACAATCAGCTATAATTAACGAAATTAAATATTTTTGTCATCATTTTGTATTTATGGAATAAAATAATGCATGCCATGTTTTATATCATGAATTCAGTACTCCGATGGCTAGAACATCGTTGCAAATATACCTTCCCCTCATCCACACACACACACACACACACACACACACAGACACACACACACACACATCAAATGGGAGATCGACAGGTGAAGGTCCAAGATTACTTCAGCAAGGTTCAACTCAGACAATAGCTTTACTGTCGTATTTACCAACGGAATTGCTTTTTACAAAATGTCCTTAATTAAAATCGCTTAAACATTAATTAATTAAACAGGTGCACTTACGGTCAGGTTCTGAGCTGCATGTCACAAAACACAATCCAACAAACAAGAGAATGTGAACTGACATGTTGTCAAACTTGCACTAATAATAATAATAATAATATACAAAAAGGTTACTGAACCCATGATGTATCAACATACATAATATACAATATCGATGGTCTCGGTCGCAAACCGTCTAACTCCGAAAAAGTAAATTTTACAGGAGAGACAAAAAACTGATTATTTCTTTGTTGATCGCTCTAAAACAAATTGTTTTTAATGATATGTGCGAAGAAACTCTCTAGCCACTATGCTGTAGCGTTTTAAAATGAGTATTGTTAATATTTACAAAATTATAGTATATTTTAAAAGATAGACGGTTTGCTCGGTCTAAAACTCTCGGTGCAAACCGTCTATCTGTGCGCGCGCAGACTTGGCCGTTTTGAACCGAGAATTTCGGTCTCAACCGCGTTCGTTCGTTTTGTCCGATGAACGTGACTTAATTATGTTTATGTTTTTAAGTTATAATTAACACTTCATAATATTTAGATTATAGTTTTGAGCTCATAATTTAATTATTTGAGTTTATTCTACTTTATGGGGTCAGTTTAATTTTAGTAGAGATGTTTTAGTATGGCTTTATCGCTTTCGACTGTTTATTCATTATGGCTGTATTTAGCACTAGACTTATTAACTGTTGAAGGTTATGCTTTATTTATTACATATTTGTATTCTCACTGTTTATTTTACTAAATCTGGTGGGTGCTTGGTTTTGTAGAATGATAATAATAAAAATATAAACCTTATTGTCAGATATATTATGAATGAGACATAACACAATAATTACATTAATAATGACTTAATTTTTACTTATTTTACAAAATGTAACAAACAAAATGTGTTTATTTTTTTAATTTATTCTTTAAATAAACGTCACATGAAGAAACATTAACATGGCAACATATTTTTAAAATCAGGCAATTCATCATAAAAATGTGTATTTATGACTTGCTTTTAGGTGCTCATTATATGACAGCTTTTTTTCTGCTCTTGTACAACTTGTCAGGGACTGCAGATGAGATCATAATCTTACGACCCTAGCTTAGCAAATTCCAGCTATCTGCTAATTTACTTTGAAGTAGACAGTAGCATCAGGCTTGTACTGCAGTGCACGAATATCTGTCGCATTGAATTCTTGATAGGTCTGACTGGTCTTTTGAGAGAGGCTGGTCTCTTGTCTGTTATGTGAGACTGGTCTCTTGTATGGTAAGACTGGTCTGTAGAGAAAGGCTGGTGTCTTGTATAGTAAGACTGGTGTGCTGAGAGAGGATTGTCTATTGTATGTTAAGACTAATATTTTGAGAGAGGCTGGTTTCTTGTATGGTAAGAATGGTCTGTTGAGAGAGGCTGTTCTGTTGAGAGAGGCTGGTGTCTTGGAGGGTAAGATTGGTCAGTTAAGAGACGTTTGTCTTTTGTATATTACGACTGGTCCGCTGATAGAGACTGGTCTCTTGTATGGTAAGAATGGTCAGTTGAGAGAGGCTGGTCTGTTGAGTTGCTGGTGTCTAAGAGCGTTAGACTAGTTTGTTGAGATATTCTTGTGCCCTGTATTGTAAGAGAGTTTGGTCTTTTGTATGTTACGACTGGTATGTTGTGAAAGGCTTGTGTGTTAAGAGATGCTGATGTCTTGTATGGTAAGACTGGTCTGTTGAGAGAGGCTGATCTGTTGAGAGAGGCTGTTTGTTGAGAGAGGCTGGTATGTTGGAAGAGGCTGGTATCTTAAATGGTAATACTGGTCTGTTGAGAGAGGCTGATCTGTTGAGAGAGGCTGGTATGTCGAGAGAGGCTGGTCTGTTGAGAGAGGCTGGTCTGTTGATAGAGGCTGGTTTGTTGGGAGAGGCTGATCTGTTGAGATAGGCTGGTATGTCGAGAGAGGCTGGTATGTTGAGAGAGGCTGGTATTTTGAGAGAGGCTGGTCTGTTGAGAGAGGCTGATCTGTTGAGAGAGGCTGATCTGTTGAGAGAGGCTGGTATGTCGAGAGAGACTGGTATGTTGAGAGAGACTAGTGTGTTTAGAGAGGCTGGTCTGTTGAGAGAGGCTGGTATGTTGAGAAAAGCTGGTCTGTGGAGAGAGGCTGGTATGTTGAGAGAGGCTGGTATGTCGAGTGATGCTGGTCTGTTGAGAGAGGCTGGTATGTCGAGAGAGGCTGGTCTGTTGAGAGAGGCTGGTATATTGAGAGAGCTTGTTCTGTTGTATGGTAAGATTGGTATGTTGAGAAAAGCTGGTATGTTTAGAGAGGCTGGTATTTTGAGAGAGGCAGGTCTGTTGAGAGAGGCTGGTATGTTGAGAGAGTCTGGTATGTTGAGAGAGGCTGGTATGTTTAGAGAGGCTGGTATTTTGAGAGAGGCTGGTATGTTGAGAGAGAGGCTGGTATCTTGAAAAAATAAAACTGAATTTTTTTTTGGTCAGTCAGACTGGAATCTTTTTTTGACTTATAAAATGAAATCATTTTGTTACTTGACAGCTTGAGAATGCTAGCTAAGTTTAAATAGCCTTCTCCTTCTTCTATATGGTAGCATCCAATACGATTTCATATAATGTAATTAAATAATTTTAATTTTGATCCGAAATCTAAACATGTAATACTCATCATTAGCTAATTGCTAAGCTCATGTTTTAATGCGTTATACTTATACATTGAACCATGCTTATTATTTATTGAACTGAATAGCCATCTCAATAGTTGACCATGTATATTAAAATTAATCATACAGGCATTTACTAAACACAACTAAGCCTGTCGTTTAACATGTACGCCAAACATTTTGTGACCTACTGTATAAACATTTCTTAACACGTAGCTAAACCCTTAATATAAAGCTATTAGTGAATTAACAATAAATAAATTTATTGCACAAGCTTGTGGAAATATAATTCTAATAATATTGTTTTAATTGATCAATAGATTTAGATTCTAGAATGAAGATCTAGTTTCAAAGCATTGTGTTAGAGTAATAAAAATGTAAACAAATAAGTTTGGTTCTCGAAAATCTACTGGAAATAGGCAAATTTAAATAAATACTCTATGTTTATTATTTTTTAAATGCTAAAATATAATAGAATAGATGAAAATAATCAATAAAATAGTCTTACCAATAAGTAATTTGACTGCTGTGGTGTAAAATCGTGTGAGTGCAGCGTGCGACTGCGTTTCCGATCAAAAGTGTACTGACAAATATAGCGGTATTCGTTTTGCGCCGAGATTTTTAGCGCTAGAAATAATAGGCGGTTTGTTCAAATGATTATATCTCAATAATCATTCAACAGATTTCTATAATATTTTCAGGCATTATGGGGAATCATACTGGCTTTTGATTTATGTAAAAAAAAGAAAATTGAATTTTTTTGAGTTAGACGGTTTGCGACCGAGACCATCGATATAATTTTCTTAGCAATTAAAATATTACAACAATTCTATATATGGAATGATTTTTTTTTAAATCTCGATAATCGCATAGTTAGACAATTACCTATTGTTAAATAATTTATTAGTCCTTAATTAAATATTTAAAAGTCCAACATAATTGCAAACATGTGTTGATGTAACAGACAAATCAATAACACAGTATTTCTTCTCAGTAAGCACACAACTTAATATTTGAAAAACATATTCTGTAGATAGTCCACCACCAAGCTGTCACCCTATACAACATATTTTCTCCGAGATGATGAAGAAGAAGGGTGGGTAAGCGTATTATTGCTATAGATTGGTTAGAAATGTGTCAACAAAGATCAAACGGTTAAAATGATTTAATAAAGTTAGAAACGTACCTTGTTTTTAAGATGTCAGAATTTTTCTATTTTTCTGAATTTTTAAGCAGTGTGTTAACTTGATCCAAAAGAAAGTTCAGATCTGCTTAAATGGCCTTAAAATCGGTAAATGACAGTGTGCTAAATTGAGTTTCGATTTCGCTACACTTAAGATTTTATTTTGTAATTAAGTAATTGATTTTTGCGAACGAATGAGACAGTGGCTAGAACTACCCACCACCACTCGCAAAAAAAACACTTTTTCTGTCCCTCCTATATATATATATATATATATATATATATATATATATATATATATATATATATATATATATATATATATATATATATATATATATATATATATATATATATATATATATATATATATATATATATATATATATGTAGACTGCCTCACTAAATTTAAATTAATTATTCAAAACATTTCCTAATGTAGTAATCTATTTCAATGCAAATATATCCATCGTGATACAAATAACCACACAAAAAATATCCTTTAACTCATTTCGGGCCTGTTTTTTTTTTTATTTTGTTTTAAAAAAAAAATCGGTCAAAAGTATTCAAACACGGATGTTTATTGTGTGGAATGGTTTCCCTTGTTTTGTTTTATTATTATGTTTTTTTTTCCATTTATATTAAAAGCTTTGCATACATTCCTTTTTATGTCTGTGTTTCTTTGGTATGCTTTATTTTAATAATAATTTAGAGAAGAAATTGGTTTTTAATTTACTTATTACTAAACAATTTAAAGGAACTTTATGGGCACCCCTTTCAGACTAATTAGAGAGGTGCGATAAGTCATGGAAGTGGTTTGAAGGTTTTTCTATCTTTTACAATACACTGTAGTTTTTATCTATATAATTGCAAAAGTGTGTCTTAGTTACTATAAAACAATTTCTGCTATAGTAGATCTGTATTTTTCTTTCTTCTTTCTGTCAAGGTGCAAAAAAAATTACTGTGTTGTTTTTGGTCGGGTTTGGTTTCTTAAATGGAAATAACTCAATAAATATCTTCAGGATATCCACCACGCCTGATTATTTCCCCATGGAGAATAGCTGACAATAAATATGGGTAGCGTATAAAGTTTGATGTATTTTTTTAGCTGGTGATATAAATTTTGTGACCAATTTTCAGTGCGTTGAGAGGGGGATAAAAAACGCCAATTGAGCGTGACGTCGCTTTTAATATAGTTAACACTAAGGGCCTATATTATTAAGAATGAATTGTATTTGAAAATTTTCCTATCAAATAATTGTAGACAACCTTTTTTTTTTTTTAAAAAAAATTCTAATAGCTTTGACACAAAATTGATGTTTAAATTTTTATTTTCACAATCTAATTGGCAATATACTAAAACAGAATTTTTTTTTAGTGTCTGAAAATGGATTTGTAGCAATACTTCATTTTAAAACATTTGTGTGATTTCCTAGTTTTACTAAAAGTCACATTAAAAAATTTAATTTTGCGAGTAGTTAAATGCAAGATTTGTAGAATAGGCCTACTTGGATCTGTTCAAGAAGTTGCAAGCACGAAAATATTTTTTAATACCTGATGATTGGGATAATTAATTCTGATATTTTTTTGTAATAATGTAATTTGAATATGGTTAATCATCAACTAATAAACAAATAAAACTGTTATGATTACATAATTTTATTTACATACCACAGCATACAAAATGAATACATTAATAGCAGCATATACACTTTTGAAAAAAAATTAAATCAGTGTTCAACAATGTGTATTCCACAACAACAAAAAATATTAAATTTCGGTTTAAAATTTGCTGAAAAAAGAAACTTACATAAGTACACCAGTTTAAACGGCTAAGTGTATCAAAACATTAAAAATAACATTTTACGATTTTTTTTGGGAGGTTATTGTCTAAAATAATTAAATATATATATATATATTGTATATATATATATATATATATATATATATATATATATATATATATATATATATATTATATATATATATATATATATATATATATATATATATATATATATATATATATATATATATATATGTATATAAATTTATCAATGGAATTGTTATTGTTACATTTAGAAATACAAGTCACAGCAAAAAAAAAAAAATTAAACAAAAACAATTTACCTAAACAAATTTAATTCTTTTTGAAATAAGCTTTTCAATGATTAAATGGTTGCTTTATTATTTTTGGTATAATTTTAAAATTATTAACAAATAATTCCAATATCTGTAACTTGTTTTTTTTAATGAACTGTAAGATGATTATTATATAAAGTAGTTATACTAAAAACAGCATTCCAAACTTAACCCTAGGAAAATCTTGTGAACATAATATTAAAACACATAGGCATATTGGTGGATTTTTAGTAAACATATTGAGTTATTTTATGGGAAAATCGTGTGTCTTGCTGAAGTTTTCTTGCAAACGTAGACAGCTGCACCAATGCCAACACAGGCTAATACAGCAAGAGTCAATCCTATACCAAGCCCAAGTTTAAGATCCATGTTATCTGTAAACAAAAAAAACAGGATTTTTTATCATCTTTGCAGTTGCTATATGCAGAAACAACAAAATAAAAAACAAAATATAGTTCTGTAATCCTAGAAAAGTTCCTTATTATGAATCACTGGCAAAATATATTTAAAAACACACCATTTAAACATTTAAACTATTAATCTTAAACAAATGTCATTTCAGCTCTCATTATTACTTACCATCAGCAATTACCCTAAAGAAACATAACAAACAAAAGAAACAATTAGAGTTAATTCAAAATTTAGAAAAATGTATCCACTTAATAAACAAGTATAACAATTATGATTGACTAATTAATATTGGATTGGCAAAATGTTTTTCTTGTTTAAAAATTGGTAAAATATTGCTATATTTGAGAAAATTGAAATGCTATGCTTGTAAAGATCAAGTCCCAATATATAATTTACCTTATAACAAAAGTTTATGTCTAAATATAACATTAGTTGAGCAGACTAAAATGCATGTTATGTTATATTTATGTTTATACCTGCAAACTGTTGCACCATTCTCCACAATACAAGCCTCATTATTTCTACATGGGTTGGTTTGTTGTCTCACTTCACAAGTTGAAGCATAGACTAAAGAAAAATTGTTATCTTTTAAAACACTAATTTTCAAAAATAAAATGATTTTAATTTTTTAAATGCAAACATGAAAAGCCACATATAACAAAATGACAAAACTTCCTACCTGCTTTGTCACCAACATACAGATTTATAACTGTTGAGAGGATATTATTTATAGTAACTCCTTGAGTCATGATCACCTGTAAAGCTGAAGTCAGTGATTTGTCTGGGCTGCTCTCTATAATGCTATCAATCAGCACAAGAATGTCTGCTATAAGACTACCTTTCCTGCAATATGAATGGGAAAAATCAATTTGTTTAAATTACTAAAACAACCTAACATGGATTTAAAGATATTCATTGCTGCTGTTGAATTGTTAGTTAACTTAATTAGTTTATTGTACTGAAATAAAATTAATGATGATGAATAAACAATTAATTTGTGTTCTTAAAAACCAAAGTTTGCATTATTACATCGTTTGGTAACAGAGGACAAGTAAGTCAGCTACTATTTAGTGGTTGAGGATTTTACTCCTACTTCTATTTACTAGTGTTTAAACTTGGCATAAACCCATATTAAATGTATGTTTTAATGATAAGATAATGATTATGATTATGATAAGATGTGTGGAGTCAAGTAAACACACACAAAATATAGTTATACAGTATAGCTACTGAAATTAATTATATGAACCATGGTTCATTATAATTGACAAAACTGTTTTTATCAGATTTAATAAATTCTTACTTGAGGCCTTGAACAGAAACTTTAGTTACAGCCACTCCTGTAGCTTTCAATTTCTTGTACATCTGAAACAAAATTGGCTTTTAAACTGTGTTTGTTTATTAAAGTATTTTTTTAAATATTCTAATTTTAAATTTAAAAAAAAGTAGTGTTATCTTATTACTTCATCAAATTACTTGTAGGAGGTATTAAGTTTTCTAAAGATATTAAATATGGTTCTCTTTGACCTATTTACCTTGCATTATGAAAGTATTCTTCAGCTAGTTAAAGTTTATGGTTAGATTAATATTAACATTTGATATTTAAAAAAGTATGCTACTTGAAACATTTATTACAGTTTTAAAAAATATTATAGCATAAACAAATTACTTGAGATTCAACTTCATCTTTTGTTTTCTTGTAGTCATCACTGTTTTTGTCTTCTAGGTTTAGTTTTGAAACATCCAAGTTGAATGTGATTGTCATGTTGTGTTTTGAGGTTTCTATTAAACAATTTTAAAAAATCAGTTTGGGCTATATAATGCCGTTGTGATATGAAAGTATAAGTATATGCTTACTACAATGTAATTGTCTATTAAAAGTGTAAGTAGGTTGAATGATGATGTAATTTACAAAATAAAAATATTACCATGACACTTTGATGAATTTGTAGGGCTAACAGCAAAGCCATCTTTACATGAACAATTTACACCACCAATAGTGTTGGTGCATGTCTGTTCACAGACTGGTGTTGTGAGAGCACACTCATCAATATCTGGGAATTATATATAGGCATATATATATATATATATATATATATATATATATATATATATATATATATATATATATATATATATATATATATATACATATATATATAAATATATATATATATATATATATATATATATATATATATATATATATATATATATATATATATATATATATGTATGTATATATATATATATATATATTTATATATATATATATATAAATATATATATATATATATATAAACACATAAATATATTACTAATAGACTAGTAATTGCTTTTATGAACTATATGAAAAAGCTTTTTATAACTACCTTCACATGTGTTGTTTGAATTCAAATAGCCATCATTACAGGGACAATCAAATCCCCCAATAGTATTGTTACAATGAGTATTGGATGGACATATATTTGTATTCTGGAGACATTCATCAACATCTTTGTCACAATTAGTTCCACTCCATCCACTTTTACACTGGCATGTACCAGAGACTTTATCACATGTTGATGTCCCCAACACAGAACAGCTGCAGTTGTTGCTACACTCAGTGCCCCAGCTGCCCTCTGCACAAGCTGAATTAGATGGAATATTATATCTACTTACTTAAACTATTTTCGGTGTTTAGGAAAATTCTGTAGGCCTGTAATCATTTGACAAAAATTAATAATAAGAGAAATGAAAAGCAGATCTTGTATAATTTAATTAATTTTATGTTTATTTTTTAAGCAATGCAAATCTTTTATTTAATGATTTAAGTCAGATATTATATAACAGTAAAAAGTGGAAAACAACAACAAAAAAAAGGTTTCTTCAGTCAATGTGACATGGACAACTTGTCATTAATCACATCAGAAATATACATTAGCCAATCTAATTCTATTAATTATGAGATAAGAAAGTTTAGTATTAGTTTTTTAGATACTTTAAACTATTTTTCTTTACTTTGTAATAATAATACAAATCAATGAAGTGTGATGAAAAAATCCGTTTGTAAATCATTATTTTATTTGTTTTCTGATAATTTTTAATTTATTTTTAATTACACAATTGACAGCTGAGCTAAAATATAATTTAATTTTGCATATAACATGGGATTTATTATATCAAAGCATATTAAATTTATAGAAAGATTTGAGATTGGAATGTTGTAGTAAAATAAAAAAATTAAGACAAAATAGATAAACATAATTATATAATATGCAGCTGTATTGAGACAAATACTGTAAAAGCTTTTAGAGAGATGTGGCATAAAGTTCATCGAACAAGCAAAAGTTTTAAAAATACATTATGATGAAATATGCAATCCATGTTATGTTGAATGAAATATGATAGCAGATTTAAGTTATATATAGCTTTATCAGCTTAAAAATAAATAACGTTACTACCTTCACATGAGTTGCTTGAGTTAAAATATCCATCATCACACAGACAAACAAAAGACCCATCAGTATTGTTGCAATTAGAATGGGATGGACATATGGTTGTGTTCTGGAGACATTCATCAACATCTTTGTCACAATTAGTTCCACTCCATCCACTTTTACACTGGCATGTACCAGAGACTTTATCACATGTTGATGTCCCAAACACAGAACAGCTGCAGGTGTTGTTACATTCAGTGCCCCAGTAGCCTTCCTCACAAGCTGCACATAGAACGGAGACAAGAACTTTTAAAGAAGGATTTTGGTAACTCAAAAAATAATTCTTAAGTCATACACAAACCAAATTTTATTAAAGGGAATATAGAAAAATACTTTAAAATTTAAAAATAAATTATTTTCAAAATATGGTATTTTAAAATATTAGATCTAGTTTAGTTGTCCTTAAATTATAATTAAAAATTTTGATATCAAATGTATAAAAATCAAAATGAAATTTTAAAATGCTTTTGCTTTTAACAATCTTTGTTTTTTTTAAAATAATGTTTGTGCATCAAACTAAAGAAAATAAATTAAAGCTAGAGGAAATTAAACTTTTATCTACCTGCACATGTATCTCTTGTTGTTGTAAATCCTTCACGACACATACAGACATACCCAGTGCTTGAACTCTTACACTGTAAATTCGATGAACAATTGTTCACTCTACAGTCGATGACAACATCTTCACACATGGCACCACGCCATCCAATCTTACACTGACATGAACCAGTAACTTGGTCACAGTGGTCTGTGTTCAGCATCTGACAGCTGCATGTGTTGTTACATCCAGCACCCCAGCTGCCTTCAATACAGTCTAGTCATAAAAAAAAACAAAGCTGATTTATCATTTCTTCAAATATCTTAAACAATATCAATTTATAAACTATGACTATTAGTTTGTAAATAAAGTTTTCATTTTTAAAAAGTTCTAACTCATTTTCAACATACAAATAGGAATCTGGTTACATAGTATATTAACCAGGAACAGATAACCACTTTTTTTTACAAAAGTGTCAAAAACGGAAAAACAACTTTTAATTATTTTTTTAAAAAATTCATTTGTAAAAAAAATCATTAGCTTCAAATTTATAAACAGTGATTATTTAAGATATCAAAGTAAACAGTTTATGAAATATTTGAAAATGTGAGTACCTTCACATGTGATGCCATCATTACTCAGTGTTTGTCCTACAGGACACACACACTCTGTGCTTGTGTTTTGCAGAGTTTCTACACAGCCATGTTTGCAGGTTGATTTTGCACAAAGATCCACGTCTTTGATAATTAAATTTAAAAAAAAAAAACTTTTTTTTAAATATAGAACTAAAATAATTTACTCTGTCACTAAAAAGAATATACATTCAGATAGATAATTCATAAAAAGTTAACTTTTTATTTATGGTAGTCAATTATAATTTTCTGTATAATATATTTGATTAAATACTTATTATCAATAATACAAATTTTATGTAGGCCTATACATTATATTTATACAATAGAAATTAATAAATTATTGTTAGATAAAATCAATTTTTAATTTTTCAATATTTTTTTTTATATTAATATCACAGTGATAATGCTTATGAAAATGCCAAGACAAATACCATCACAATTTAGACCATCAGCTGCTAAAGTTGTTCCTTTTGAGCACAGGCACGTTTCTGTATCATTGATGGTAGCACACTGGTAGCTACATGTGGTTTTGGTGGTACATGGTATTGTGGCTGCAAGCCCAAAGTGATTATTAAAGTCTGCTCATTTAAATTTATAATTATGATAAATGCAAAGAAATTATTCTTGTAATAGTTCAGTAGAATACACCTAGACAAGATACTAGACTAAGATTTGCGACACGTTTTTAGGACAAAAAAAAATCATCATGAAAATCATGAATGTTACAACTATTTCTTCTATTAACTTCACATTAAATAACACAGGGGAAAACAAATCTTATTTGTTAAAAGGACAATATCATTAAACTACCTCTACAAGTAAGACCATCAGGTTGAAGCAACAGCCCAGATGTACAAGAACACCTGTAGCTTCCTTCTGTGTTGATACACAACTGTTCACATCTGGTGTTGTCTTGTTGGCACTCATTTATATCTGGAGGTAGAAATGCAAGTTATTTGTTTGCTTAATCTGATATGAAATGATACACATATCCTAAGCAATTTTCATAAGAATAAAAAAATATATTTTAGAGATGTTATGCTTTATGTTTGTTTTATTATTAAATGATAATGGCTATTTTAAAAATATAATTTAGGTTCAAAGAAGAGGTCACCTGAACAAATGTTGGTTGTTGAGTTGTAGAAATATCCATGGAAACAAGCACAGCTGTAACCTCCAACAAAATTGTTGCACAACTGAGGGCAGTTGTTGGTTGTTGGACTGGAGCATTCATTCAAATCTTAAAAAAAATTTAAACATAAGACATTCTTTTTATGTGTGATGCTAGTGATAAAATTGATAATTAAAGCTTTAAATATTTTAGCCTGAACTTTATTTTGTAATATAAAACTTAGTATTACCCGCACAAGCTCCGTTCTCCCTTACATAACCAGCCAGACATTGGCAGGTAGCAGATCCAGGTAAATTGACACATTTTTCATTGGTGCCACATTTCTGTGCTCCAGTTGTACATTCATCAATGTCAATATTACACAGTGTTCCTGAGAATAAAACAAAATTGTGTATAGCCTAAGGGAAAGAAAAATATGATTTTTTTTCTTTTGAGAAAACACCTTAACATTTGCAATAGATTATTCTTTTATTTTCAATTAAAGATACATAACGTGAGCTAAAGCAAAATTTTTACTTTCTTAAAGGAATTTGATATATAATTATTTGAAAATATAAAATAATACCAACTAAAAATGTATAATTTTTTACCAGTGTATCCTGACTTGCAAACACAACCAGTTTTTAGATCACAGTAATCTGCCCCTGACCCACAGCTACATGACTTGTTACACTGTATGCCCCATGTCTCACCACTACATCCTGTCAAAAATGTTTATATAATACAGTTTGAAAATTTGGCTCATGTTTTTTAAAGGGAAAGAAAGGTTTAAGTAACAGAGCGAAATATTGTAATATATATTTGCAATAAATTGATGAATACAAAAATGTATTACCAATACAAGAGCGGCCATCATTGTCCAGCTTTGTCCCTGCTTCACATGAACATGTGTAGCTGCCATCAGTGTTGACACAGCTTGTTTTGTTAGCACATTTGTTGTCACTGTCTGTCAGGCACTCATTGACATCTGACAAACACACATTTCAAGAATTAGAATTGTTTTATTTTCTATTAGCATACAAAAAATTGTGTATAGTAAATAAGATTATGTTTAACACTTTATGTTTTTTTATGAAAATAATTAAACTTATTGTGTTATGTATTGATAATACCTATGTGTTTAATGAACTTCAGTTCCTAAATATTATTTCAGGTATATAATTTAAATACCTTCACAGAGCTCTGTGCCTTTTAGTTGATAGCCTCTTGCACAGTAGCAAGAGGGCGTACTCTCAGCATCAACACCACACCCATAGCTGCAGTTGAGAGTTTGACCAACACAAGGGTCTTTCACTGTTTGGTAAGACATGATGTCAGTATGATTATTTATAATTACAAAATAAACAAATAAAATTATGAATATAATAGAATTTCATTACAAATGTTAAAAATCTATTAATTACATTTTATGCAAAAACTTAAGAGGCGATAACTACTCATTATAAAAGTAGTTTTATTCATGTATTCTAAAATTATACTTTCCCAAAGTTAAGCTAAGAAATAAACAAAACAGGTTGTGATCAAACCTTTGACACAGGTCCACCTGTCATCAGAGAGATAAAAACCTTGTTGACACAAACAGTTGTAGGAGCCAGGCTTGTTGTCACAGATTTGTTCACATTTATCTACTTTCTTTTCACATTCATTTATATCTGAAGTACAAAAAAAGGCTTAACTTGTATGTCAACTTGTTATCAGTCATAAACTATAAAAATATTTTTTTTAAATGTTATTTGTTTAAATATTTGAATGGGTCGGATAGCAGTGTGTGCAACTGTTAACCCAAATATCTCACGTTCCGATCACTGAGTCAACTCAGCTCTGATGGGTACCTGACTGAAGTTAGGTGGTTGGTTATAGTGCTAATCAAACTACAAGCTGAGGTCAGTGAAAAATGTAAACTCTACTTCTCCTGCCCCATGGACCGTCTAGGTACTTTATTGAAAAATTTGAGAAAATAAAAACCATTAATACAATTTCAGTATATTTTTTGCTTGATTAAACAATAATTAAAGTGTAAGATTTGCTATAAAAAACAAAGTGCAAACCTTCACAAACAGACTGAGCATTTCTGGCATATCCTTTCTTGCACGAGCAGCTGTAGCTTCCGATTGTGTTGATACAAACTTCTACAAGTCTGTCACAGGTTGTGTTAGAATAAATATCTGTGCACTCATTAATGTCTGGTGTCATAGAGTATATAGTCACTTTTTAAAAATCTTGCCACATCAAATAGTGATTATTTCTAAATTTCAAAACTGTATTAAAAATTATATTGTTTCTATGTTAATTAGCAGAGACATACCTTTGTTTATGTTAGCTGTTTGCAAACTTACTCCTAACTTACCTGTTAATCTAGTTTAGTAAGCCTATGTTAGCTGTTTGCTAACTTACTCTTAAATTAACTGTTAATCTAGTTTAGTAAGCCTATGTTAGCTGTTTGCTAACTTACTCTTAAATTAACTGTTAATCTAGTTTAGTAGGCCTACTGACAGGTTTATACATATTAAATTGCCTAATTGAAATATTAAGAAGAACCCACATTTTTGGACTTGGTCATAAAAACATTTAAAAATTCTCTTAATGAACTTCTTAATTGCATATAGAACCCAAATATAGGCCTTAAAGAATACTTTTACAAAAAAAATATGTTAGGTTCTAAATAAGAATAGTATTTACTACACAATCTCTTCATTGTGAAATGATAATTTACACATGTTGAGAATGTTTTATCAGTCATTATAAAATCCTTAATGAAGACCATTTTACCATAACTTCATATTAAAATACATTATGTGAATTTAAATTACATTTGTACTGTAAATAATAAGGTACCTAAGCAAGCTCCATTGTCCAGTTTGTACCCATCTGAACACACACAGGAGAATGACCCAATCTTGTTCTTACAGACAAAACCTTCAGGACATGAGTTGGGCTGGGCACATTCATCAACGTCCAGCTCACAGTTGTCCCCTGTCCAGCTCTTGTCACACACACACCCTCTAACTGTGTCACATGACCCATGACTGCTGCACTGGCAGATGTTCTCACAGTTTTCACCATAGTAAGGTTTTTCACAGGCTGAATGAAATGCAAAGGATTTTATTTCTCTTACAATATATGGACTATTCTAAAAACAAGAAAAAAATAATTGATTTCATTGACCTGGGTGCATGTATATCGGGTTGATTTTTATAATTTTTATATATTAGTAATAAAACCCTAAACAAAATCTAAAACTTCACATTTGTCATGGTGAGTTACTGCTAAGCTAAAGGTGATATTTCATTTTTACCTTGTGTTTGCATAGTTGATAAAATAATTAAAATCTAGAAGCTAATTAAAATGTCCTGTTTTCAAACAGATAGACCTACAATGCAGTATTTTTGTTTTGTTTTGCTTTTTACTATGAATCCCTGCAAGAAAATATAACCATAAGATGTTTACTTTGAGTAAGTTGGCCAATATTTATAGTAATTGAAATAAATTCTTGTAAAAGACAATAAAAATGTTCCCCACACAAATCAGACCTAATACTTAATATAGTGATGATAAACCTTTGTCCGTCCTTAAATAGCCACAGAGACCCTAGAGATATGACTTCATCCATACCTGCACAAGAGACTCCATCAGGCCCAAGTTTGAAGCCAGTGTAACATGAACATTGGTATGTCCCCAGCTGGTTGATACAGCTTTGACTGCATGGCTTGTTGCCATACTCACACTCATTTATATCTGATCATTAATTAACAAACATTGATCATAATTATATTTTTATCTGATAATAAGATGATAGGCATAGCTACATGTTTTTAAGTTTTAGAAGGTAAATCTGCTTTTTTATTTAATTTAAGTTATAACTTACTTTTTGTTATCAGTTTTAATGAGTAGAATTTTTATTTTGTACTTTAATTTAAACTTCTTCCATATTAAAATGCACTTAAAAATTTGATTTAATCATGTCTGTCAAGTTTTATGAAATTTAAAATATATGTAAGTATAGATCATATATGTATGAACTAAAAAAGTACCTATACAGTTTGTGTTGTCACTTGGATCAACCTCATATCCAAGTCTACAGCTGCAGTTCACTTGGTTATTTGTCACACTACAAACCTGTTGACATTGGTAGCATTGCTCTCGTATGCTGGAGTCTGATAAATATAAAATGTTATATTGTAATTATATTTCAATTGGTGAATTAATGAAAGGATAATGATGACAGCAGAAAAGAAGAGAAAAACGAAAGAGAGGAAGACAATTGAGAACATAGAAGAGAGAGAAGGAAGAAGAAGTGCAGGCTATTGGCAAGACCTGGCATGAATTGAAGTGGTTCACCCAGGACAGAGTGGAATGGCAGAGATTTGTTGATACCCTATACTCCAGATGGAAACGTGAGGATTAGGTAAAGTTAGTTGGATGACAGTAGAAAACTCATGCTTATTTCACTAGAATTATTAATAACAGGAGTTCTTTGATGGTGCCAATGTAGTTAAATTTCTGAGTCTGTACTATTAAACTATTGCCTGTATTATATAATGCTACAAAAGACTAGCCTTATCACTAGAACTTCTAACACCAAAAGTTAAAATTGTACTGTTACAACCAGACACAAGAGTCCATTGTCAAAGGCAGGAAGGAAAAATTAGCCAGAACAATAAATAAAAATTTTAAGAAATTAAAAAAAAAAAAAATAGCATCTACCTATAGTGCATGTATATCCATTATCATCAAGTATGTACCCAGTCTGACATGAACAAGAGTAATTTCCCCTTGTATTTGTGCATTTTTGTTGACACTTGGAAGTTCTTTCCTCACACTCATTAATTTCTTTTTAATGCAAAATTGAAAAAGAAATAATGAAATTCCAACAATAATATTAATTAAAGGAAATTATATAACGAACATTGTTTTTTGTATCATAAAAGAAAGTATTTAATTTAATATCATGACTGCCTTTCATTTAGATAAAAATGTTTTTAAAATGTTTTTTAAAAATGTTTTTAAATGCTAACATAATTCTACTTAAATGTTTTTAGATCTTACTATAATAACTCACCTTGTAAACTAATGATAAATTTTTTTAATGATAAAATTTAATGATATGTTGTATTCAAATGTAAATTTATTTAACACATTTTAAATCAGAATTATACGGTTACCTAAACAAGTTTTCTTTTCAACTGTGTCCAGCCTGTAGCCAGACTGGCAACTACAAACAAATGAGCCTTCAGTGTTGGAACACACCTGGCTACATGGGCTGCTCACATTGCACTCATCAATATCTGGAATAAAAGTTTAAATATAAAATGTTTTTCAATTGTTTTCAAGCCTATCTAATTTTAAAACTAAATAAGTATTACTTAAGTTTTAAATGTTATTATTACTTAGCACATAAAAATACTATAACACTATTAAGATTCTAAAAAAATACACTTTTACATACCAACACACTTTCCTTTCCAATCAAAAAATCCATTAGGGCAAGGGCCACAAGCATATCCAATAGAATTGTTTCCCTGTTGGGCAGCAGTGAGATCTGTACAGTTCTGTCCCTTGGAACATGGCTCTGCAGCACAGCCATCCAGCTCTGAGTCACACTCTTGACCTATAAGATGATAGCATTCAATTATTAATTTGTAAACATTTCTTGACAAAAAAATTCATCCTTACTAATTAAAAAACAAATATAAAAAAAATGTGTAACACTCTTGAATATGAAATATTAAGCAATATGCATGCAGTGAATCTGTATACCAATACTGTCTAATGAAAAGCATATCTTTAAATCATAAATAGAGTATGGGGAAAAATACTTAACAGGTGCATTAATTAACATTAGAAGAAACAAAATCATTATATTTTTAAAATAAAATTTTATAATCGTTTAACTCATTAAACAATCTTTGTATTGATATAAAAAAAAGATATATATTTCTTAACTAAATCATTTAAAAAATTTAAATATATGCTACATATTAATAAATGTTTAATGACTTCAAACCTTTATAAGCAGGAAAACATGCACAGATTAATATTTGGAATTGACCATTCAGAAACTCCTGTTGTCTTGGAGTATTTGGATCACAGACACCATGTCCGCTACAGAGTGGGCAAACAGTTATTGGGATGTAAATAGATGGAGAGACAGCACCCTTTGAGTCCTTTGCTCTGATTCTGTACAATTAAAAACAAATTAACTGTCATACTTATATAGGCCTGAATAAAAACAGTTTATTAATGTATATATATATATATATGTATATATATATATATATATATATATATATATATATATATATATATATATATATATATATATATATAATATGTATATTATTATTTTCATTTACTGTATTAATTAATATAATAATTATGTTATTCAGTTTGAGTTGTTTTGTAACAAACAGGTAAATGTGTAATTTGTCTTATTTCTGAAATGGGAACTTACTGGATGAAAACAGGACTGTTAACATTAGGAGTGTAAGTTATTAATCCTGTATTATCAATGGTTACATTAGTGACATTGCCTAGGATTTCAAATGTTATTGCATCATGGTCCTCATCTTCAGCAATGAGTTGTAAGTTAGACAGAGTTCCATGTTTAACCAGCCAGCGGCCATTGGAGTTTAGACTATCATTCTTTACTGTCAGGCTGGGTGGATTGTTAGCTGTAGATATATAAACAATGTTTTGTAATTAAAGATTTAGAAGAAAAAAGTGTATGTTCAGCCATTTTTTAAACGGAGTAAATTATTAATATCCTTTCAAAGTTCCTATTCAATGTCCTTACAAATATATTGTACAAAATTATTGTTTAAAATTGCAGGCTCTATTAAATTCAAACTGGCTATTATTAAAAGAAAAAAGTAACCTATATTTTTTATGACTTTTCATTTTAAAAAAAATTAGTTGTGAATTAAACTACATATACAAAATTACAAATTTATTAAAAATGCACTGTGTAATAAAGTAGGCCTATATATTTTACATACAATCTGTTATGTTTACCTAAAATGTTTGTTGTCTCAGCCATCTGTTCACTAAAAGATTTTGTATTCTCTGCAAATGCCTGGTCACCAGTGGCAAGGAAATCAAAAATACAAGCATCATTTTTATCTCCACAAATTTCAACAGCTTTTGCCACATCTTCAGGCTTAGCTTCATCTTTAAACATGGGAGTAAACTCTGGGTGCTGGAAATCTTCTGCTTTTTCTCCTGGTCCATACAAGAATATTGATGTACTTGCATTTACTGCCCCTGGAGATTTATATAAAAATGAATAAAAAAGAAATAGATCTTTAAAACACATGTTATTTACACAAAGTGTGGTACTCATATTCTATTGCATTAAAAAAAAAACACAGATGCTATTTAAGCATTAAAAAATAATCTTACACGTTTCTTTACTGCATTTAATTTCTTATTTGGCAGGTCAAAAGGAACACATGGAAGTATTTTCAGAAAATAATGGCAACGTTATAAACAAAAATAATGCCCAGCATTACAACTGTGCTTTTTAAGTGGACACTAACTAGATAATAACAAATTAAATCACTAATTTAAAACAGTTTGGCTTAAACTCTTTTCTATATCATTAACAATAACCCCAACAAACTAATAGAAACTTTTCTTACCCTACTCTTATGTATAACGTTTACAATTGATTTTACCAGTTAAATTGTTTAGCACTATGCTAATTATTATTTTACTTCAATTTTCTTTTTCAAAATACGAGTAACAGGTCATGATAAACTATTGTGTTTATTTATTTTTTAATTACGGGAAAAAATACTTACTAAAAGTGCAATGGGTAGATAACATTAAAAGCAATTCATTTACTTTGAAGATTAAGTAAATCTCATTTTAAAAGATCAATACAATTAAAATATACAAGCTGGTTGTAAGTGAGAAACCTACATTTTTGAGAAAACTGCTGAAAAATCTCCCTTTCAGTCAAGTTTGCAGAAAGCACCTGGCCATCAGGAGTAATGAACTCATCTGTTGTGTTACCATTGAAATTTCCCAGAAGGCCTCTGGTCTTACCCTGAAGATCTTTAGGAACTTCAAACATAATCTCAAGACATCTTACAGCAACATGAACATGAATTGTCACCCCTGTTAAATTTTAAAAGTAATATAAAATACAAAACTACATAAATTCTAAAAAAAAAAGAATTTTTTAAAAAAAAAATTTAAAATTTGGAAATTACTTTTTGAAAGTTTTCAGTCTATGTTTAACACAAGTTCAACTTAACGTAAACATGTTTACCATAAAAAAAATTATAACAGAATTTTAATTTAAAATTCATACCACAGGTAAAGGTCGCAATAGCGATGGTTCTGTTATTCTTGTATTCCCTAGTGATTTGAATAGAATCTGTTGCAACAATGATCTCTGAGTCTAAATCTTTATAAAAATCATTTGTGATGTCCACACCATATGATGTAAGCAGCATTGCTGGGGAAAAGACAATTCAAAATCGTGACATATACAAAAAAAACATTATAGGCTAACATTTGTTGTGTAGTTTAGAGAAAAAAAATAAGGTCTAGTGAAAATGCAATTAGAGCTTGTGATATGGTATGGTGATTTTTAGTTATATCACTGCTTGAATGTCAAAATTTTGGTAAGCAATAAAGTTTCTATTAAGGTCAGAATTAGAGTGAAGTGTAAGGTTGTACTGTGTTATGGTAATGATATCAGGAAACGAACCAATTGTAATATAACATTAACAACATTATAAAAAGCCCAGCAACTTCTTGCATGTATAAATGAAAAAAAAACATTTTTAAAATCTTACTTGTGTTAGATGATGAAAGCAGAACCTGGAATGTAGTTTGATTTGATTCCTTGACAGCAAATCCTATAAAGACAGTGGCACTTGATAGAGTTCCATTCACTGTTACTGCTCTTCCTGTTCTTGTCTGGTATTTAAGATATGTTTTTAAAACACAAAAATGATAAACAAACAAAATATAATAATACAAGTTTGTCACAAATATTTGATAACTGTACCTGAATGGTAAAGTTTTCACTGTCAATTTCCATCATACAATACTCGCCCCAACCATTCATGGCATAATTTACGCCATCTAGTGTTGTTATTGTAGGGTCTCCCAGTGCTGAAGCTGTAATTTAAAAAAAAAATATTAAAATTCTTAAGTTAATTGCATTTTATTTTACAATAGAGGTTATCTTTAAATTGTATTCAAATAATTATAAAACAAAAACTTAACAAAAATTTTAAAATATTTTTCTCCGCAAATAGGACCAGTTAAATAGATGTAGGTTCTACAGTAATTGAGTTTACTTTGCAATTTTATGAATTTTAAAATTCAACACTTTTCTATTATATTATTGGACTTTCTGTAAAAGTAATATTTATAATAACATCATAACCTATGAACCTATGTCAACAAGTTATATGCCGTTTGAACAGGTGGCCATATTTTTTTTAATTCGGAGTTTTCTCTCCTATTAGGTTTGTTGCCCACACTATGAGTTTCATCTACCTGGGGTCTGAACTCAGGATTTCCAGAGCACTATATTGCCAGGTGCTGAACTAGAATAATTGATTATTTAAACCATTTCCTAATTTACTAATTTCATCTTTTTCATTGCAAAGCATACTCATCGTTAGACAACAAATCACACAATAATATTCTCTAACTCATTTAATTAACGAATATAATCATGTTTCAAAACATCTATATCCTATTTATAAAAAAAATTGGGAAATTTTCAACTCCATATTTGCCAAGCGGTTAAAAACGGAGGTTTAATATGTGTTATGGTTTCTCGTGTTTGTTTTTTTATTGCTTTTTTTAACTAATATTTATAATTTTGAATACATTCCTATTTTTCAGCTGTGTCATTCTTTAATCTGCCTTATTTTAATAATAATTAAGAGAAAAAATTTCTTTTTAATTTGCTTAGTACAAAATTATTTAAATGAGCTTTTAGGGGACCCTATTAGACTATTTAAAGAGGAGCGATAAGTGATGAAAAAAAGGTTTGAAGGTTTGCCATCTTTCACACTACAACTGGTGCAGCTTTTTTGTCTATAAAATAGCGTAAGATAGAGACTGTAGAACAATCATTGCAGTATTAGATCTGTTTTTTTTATAAAACCACTAGTCAAGTTGAAGCAAAAGAACTTTATTGTTCTTGGTAGAAATTTGGGCACTAAAAAGAGTGCCCCTCCCTATTGCAGATGCTCGGGGTAAGATAGCCCCCCCCCCCTCCCACTATTGCTCTCTTCTTATGATCTTATGATAAAAATAATTTTGAAACAAAAAAGTCCAAAGCAATCAATTATAATCTTGCCTGGAACAAACACCACAAAGTTTGAGCATCCTTTGTCAGAGAAGACCTTAAAAAACCAGTCACAGTACTTTGCTTGGCTGGCATCCTTACAGCACCACTGATGTGCCTGCATATTTTCCTGTGCTTGAAACAGATCAAAGTTGCCTATTGACCAGGGGTCTTTGATAAGTAGGTGACCTGATTCAGAGGATGCTGGGAGATAGGTGGCTTCTCTCCAGGTTTGTAGCCAGTCTCTCCAGTCATCATTGTTTGGTTTGGTCCAGCGGTAGCAGCAGAGCTAAATGTTTTGACAAAAAAATGCTAAATTGTTTTTTTTTTAAAATATAATCATTAAAAATCATGTTGAAATGTAAAAATTTATTGAGCTGTTAAAAACATAGGCCTATTTAGTTTATCTCCAATCTTTATTTCCTATCTTCTAGCTATTCAGTAATTGGTTTCAAATTTAGAATTGTACTATATACTAACAATATTAAATGAGAAAATGCAAACATAATTTTACAAGAAATGAAAACATATTAACTTAAAAAAATTAATTATTTTAAATACTATTGCTTAGTTTAAATGCAAAAACTATTTTGTTATTTTTTAAATGCACTAGAGATCTATAATTCAAACATTTAATGGAAGAGTTTTTTGGTTTTTGTTTCAGTGTTTAAAAAAATCAAATCTTTATTTCCAATCGAAAACAATGCAGTAAAAAAGTTTTAATAATAAGCTTTTATGTAATAATGCACTAAAAATAAATATATAATAATACACTACTGCAGGAGGGGCGACAGGTAAACATAACCTAATCTAACTATTTAAATTACAATAAAGAAAAGCGTGGGTCACTATAATTATATTATATCATCTATTTGATACCTTTACTAATATTTAGGTAGAGACCAACGATTTTCTTTATAGTTACTAAAAAAAGTATTAGTGTATTATAATATTTTTTAAAAATTGTTTATTTACCTATTTCTAGTGCATTACTACATAAAAGCTTGTTATTAAAACGCTTTCTAAGCATTTTTTTAATGCTATAACAATTTTAATACAACACAGTTTCGTGACAAAAAATAAACCGGGAGTGATCTCCCCATAACTTTCTCGAATATTCTTATATAAGAGTACGGGGAATGGCAACTCGGGATATAGACATGATTTGAAATCAATTAGTGATTACTTAAAACATTTTAAATTGAATATAATTTCATAGAAAAATAATTGCGCACCAAGTCAACGCCAAATAAACTGTGTATAATAGTGCGGAATATTATTAGTACTTTATACATTCATAAGCGTTTTTTTTCTTCAGAAATTGAAAATAGCATAAATTACTACTTCCGGTCAACAGAAATTACTCACAATTTGACAGATAGCGCATAATTAGATATTTTACTTAAATATGAAATTTCTTTTAACTATCTGAAACAGTATTCAAGTTATAGGCTTTAGAAAAATGGAAAGTAGAATAAGCCTCACTTCCGGTTATCGGAAATCGCTGAAAAGTTGGAACATAACTACAAATTCTATATAATACTTTTATATGATATTTCATAAACCTAGCTATAACGGTACTCAATATATACATAGACATACACACACACAGACATACGAACAAAATTGCAAAACCCAGTTTTTCGACTACGCATAAAACATCAACATTTTGATAAATCTGCATTGATTATTTTTGCCCGATTAAAATTTGTCACCTATACGCCGTATATTATTATGATGAAGTACTGAGGTGTAAAACGGTGAAAACTGTCACAATTTTATGTGATTTTTGTGCACGATTATAATACTTCCTCTATACTATGTATACGAGAAAATATAATATAAAATAAACAGGATAATTCGCTTATAATAGTGTGGGATAGTAGTAGGCATCCTACTAATTTTTGAAAATTAAAATTAATTTATAAAAAAAAATAATTATTCATCCAATTAAGTCATTTATTTGATGTCAGATTGCATTGTCATCAGGTCTCGACAACTCTTGACGCACGTGCCAAATTTCAGAGAAATCGGTCGGTTAGAAATGCTAGAAATTTAGCTTGCTAGCCTGGACCTAGACAGAAAGACAGACAGACATAGGAAGCAAGTTGAATAAAAGCTTGAAAAATGAGCAGCTTCAGAACATTTTTTTATTAAAAAAAAAGCTCTTTCATAGCTACATTTTGTGCAATCTAATTGCTTTCTGTGCTGCTACGGCATAAGAGCTATGTAATTACCAAAAATTAAGGCCACTTTCAATAAACGTCAGTTTTTTGGTAACTTTAAAAGTGATTATTCAGGTGGTGAAAATTGTCTTATCATTTCATTAGGAAACTATTGCTGTTGCGAAATCTCATTTAGATGTTATGAACAAACAACCTAAAAAGCACAAACCATATTCCTTTTATTTCCCTGTAACATCCTTCTCTTAGCAACATTGCTGATGGCGTAGCAGTAAATGTCTTGTTTCACTCCACGTTTCTCGTACAGCTGCCATTGACGTCCCAGCCTCTCCAGGGTACATGGGCACTTGTACAATTGTTGCTTATCATATTTGAACACTGGATCATCAAGCAGGTATGTGTTGCTGCAGATGTACTGGTAGCATCTTGTATCATAATTTGAAACTTGGCCAACCTCATAAGCTGTGACTCCAGTATATCCTGTATATATATATATATATATATATATATATATATATATATATATATATATATATATATATATATATATATATATATATATATATATATATATATATATATATATATCTTTTTTAAATGTACTAACTTGGGAACAGAGCAAAACTAAACACAACACAAACACAACACAAACGCAACACAACACAAACACAACACAAGCACAACACAACGCAAACACAACACAAACACAAATAGGAGGTGCGTAGATTTTGCATTCACATTTTTTTTAAATTAGCGTGAGTTGAAATATATTTTAAATTACTTTCCTTGGAAAATGACAAAACAGTTTAATTAATTCGTTTTCTCGACCCTATTATTATTATTCTACTTTTTCAAAGAATCTAAAAGAAAATGATATTTGACATTGATCCGCTTAATATGTTTTTGCATATTTAATATTTCTTCACGTTATGCGAAAGAGTAAAAACATTGGAAACTATAAAATGAATTTAAGTCGTTATATAAACAAACCCTACTCTATCACTTATAAAAAAGACACTGCGATGAACTGAAAAGCACTGCATGGAGCGATGTTTACTTTTATGGTTCCAAAATCTATAGCGATGACACGAGGACTGACACACTACCAGCCCGCTTATATTATATATATTATATATATTATATATATATATATATATATATATATATATATATATATATATATATATAATATATATATATATAAGGCCTATATATACTGTGTTATAACTATTTTATTTTTAATTAATTAATTAATTAATTATATCCAATTTGATTTATTAATTTTGAATCATTAATTTAAAATTAAACCTTTGTTTCCAGGGAGTGTTGGTAGATTGACTAAAAGTGGGGAATTCAAATCAGGTACAAAATTCTGGTTGTTGCTTCCTGTTGTCCCAATGACTATAGGTCTCTCTGGAACATAGCGCCATGACATTTGTCCTTGTTGGTAAATAAAGATGACATATGCTGTCTCTTTATCTGTAAGAATATAATATTTTCAAATTATTTAAATAGGATAACACCTACATTAGTGTGAGCGGTTGAATGGTTTATTTGTTTTATTATTATTTTATTGTGTGCAAATATGTGTGCAAACGTTGAAATTTACAGTGGCTACGGGGCTTCTGGCTTTAAATAAGTGTTTTGATGTTCTCAATAAAGGTTAGTTCGAATGAATACTGGTTCGGACGTATGATGAACGAATGGATGGTATGACGCGTATTGTGTAATAGTGAAGTTTTTGTGTAAGGACTGGTTGCCGTGTATTGTGTGTGTCTGATTTTCTTCGTCTTGGTAAAAGGGTGCATATGAGTCCAGTGCAAGACTAAATATAAGTACAGGAAACCGATATTCATCTTGTTGATTAGTCGTCACACGTGTCGTTTAGATGAGTAATTGTATAATGCTTGCCCACGGTTGCAACATCTTTATATAATAGTGTTATTTGCATATGGTGTTGGATCAAGTACTTCAACCCTCTCACTGCAAAACTGCGAGTAACATAGTTCCCAGCTAAAACAGTAAGGCCCAGTGACCTACTAACCGAGAATGTAGATCCTGAGGATTGCACCACGCGTGTCTTAGTAACTTGGCTGGGTGTTTGTTTGTTTGATAATGTTGTTGTGTTTGCTTGTTTCGTTTAGAGTTTTCTTTGTTTTAGAGTTAGATTGTAGTGTATTTATGTTTTTTTTTATATTAATGGTTCCATTTTTGTTTTGTAAATAAAATTGATAAACTGTTTATTTTCTCTTTTTTGTATCTAGATTAAGGTTAGGTTATAACCACCGTGGGTTTAGCCAAGGTTGCACTGACGCCCGATAGTTGGTTAGCATGGGGGTGGTAAGAAATTAGGTTTTAGACACACACCACCCACACACACACACTTTCAGGGCTTACATCATTCATGAAAAATAATGGCTAAAAAGCTGTACTTTATAAATATAGTAAAAACATTGATGATCTAGCTATTGAAAATTTATCCCCTTCCATTCAATTCTAAATGTCAAATAATTTAAAACACATCAATTCCTGTATGATAAAACACGGAATAAAGAATTTAGTTAATGTACTAATAAATGGGTTTTAGATGCAATAAAAACTAAAATGTTTACCTTGCATTGTTATCCTTCCATTTATGACATCTGTTTCCCAGCCACTTACATAAATAGCCTGTATTGTGTTAAGCTCTTTATACTGAAAAGAGTTTAATAAACGTCATAATGTTACATATAAATATTATTTTCATTTTAAAAGCAGACTACAGTTTCAGATGTTGGTTGTAAATAGCATAATGATATTAACATTTTAATTCTATAATAGCTCCATCAAGGAATGTATCTGTCATTACTATTTAAATTAGTTAATTTTTTATCAACCTAACAAATTATGTTAACCGAGTTTCTGTAAGTAATTTAACAATAGCTATCCTTACTTCTTTAGATGGAGCAAAAGGTTGAACATTTTCCCACGTGACAACTAGGGCTTTATTAACTTCAAAACCAGAGAGTGAGAAATATTTCTGTACATCCTTGCTGGCTCTCATCATCACTTGTACTAGGGCTGGGGACTCCGCGTCATTTGCATCAGAAAAAACATGGCCGCATCTTTCATACAGGTGGTAGTAGACATTGCCTGTAAGGTACACACAAGTGATCTCATTACCACGCACTTAAATCAACTAACACTAAATTATTATTTTTTTTATAAATTAGAATGAAAGGTTTAAGAAAACAGTCCATCAAAATATGGTAATTAATACCAATAGTTGGATCAATGTCAGCCCAGTAGGCAGCTATAATGTTAAGTCCTTTTTGACTGGCTAAACTCAAATCAGGGGAGCCACTTAGTGTAATGGGCTGGGTGCCAAAGCCAAATACTCCATTAGACATCACCTATGGACGTTATGAAAATAAAGATATTTTCTAAGAAATATACACCTACTTTATAAGCCTACCATTACATTTGTCTTAGGTGGAATATTTCATTTTTGTTTCAATTATTTAAAAGATGATAATTAAAAGACATCTTTATATTCGCAGCCTACGTATTTTGCTAAGCATATATTTAAAAAATATATTTGTATAATAACTTACATAAGCTTCTGGCTGTAGTGTTGTGCTAAAGACAGCCCCAGATAGAAATTTGATTGGTTTGCTGCTTAAGTAGGTTGATGCAGTCAAGATGTTGTCAGCAAGCTTAAGGTCATTTGCAATTTCTCCATAGCTGTAGTACGGCACTAAAAATTAAACACAACTTGAATTTTAAATGCATATTCGATTAAATTAAACAATTAGTCACCACCTAAAATTTGACCCTTTATTTACGGAATTAAAGTTCGGAATGAAATGTCTTAAATAATGTGTTATTATATTGCTTCTGGCACACTTAAAGCATACGTCAAAGGAAATTTAGTTTTGATACTTTTTAAAGGCCTAAATATATGTTGGACATTTTTTCCACAATAATTACAAAGCAGGAATAAACTGTAACATTTATTAACTAATAACATGGCAATTATTATAACAATCATTTTTTATAATGTTTACACATAAACAGAACACACAAGTATATTTCGAGTATGGTTGTAGACTGGGTTTCCATGGGAACACATCTTAGATCTTTTTTTTTAATGTACCAAACACAGAAAAAGGTGCCGACATGTCCTAGATCTACTCCCTTATTCCTTAGTGACAAACAGAGTTTCTTCCAGGCGAAATTTTTTTACCGCCTCCCCCCCCCCCCCCCCCCCCCGAACGAAATGAAATTTATATATTTTATATAGAAAATATATACTTTTAACAGTGTCCGCCCCCCCCCCCAAAGAAAGTTTACCGCCCCCCCCCCCCCGAAAATTTCAAGTGCCCCCCCCCCCCCCCCCCCCGGAGAAAAAAGTCTGGAAGAAACACTGGTGACAAGTGACAAATTCTTGTATGTGGTCTTTTTGATATGGCAACAATCGTTGGACTAAACCTGTTTTTGCTGGAAGCATCCAATAGAAATTACAATGAGCCTCAGAAATAAAATACTTTGAAAACAAAAGCCTAGCTATTTAGTACACTAATTCTAGTAAGACTAGTATGATTTTAGCCTACTAGAATGTTAGGACAGGCCTACACTACACTATTCGTAAATAGAAGTGAGTTCCATGTGTTTAAAATAAGCTTAGTGGCTTACTACTTAACAGTAGCGTAGCGAGGGGGGGGGGGACATATGTCCCCGGGCGCCGACCTTAGGGGGCGCCAAAATGGGTTGGAAAAATAAATTGAAAGGTTGAGGGGGGTGGAAATCGAAAGTTTGAGGGGGGGGGCAAATCAAAATCTCGAGGGGGGGGGGGTGCAAATCGGAAGTTCGAGTGGGGGGTGCAAATCGAAAAGTTTGTCCCCGGGCGCCGGGAAGGGTCGCTACGCCTCTGCTGCTTAATGTTTCCTGATTAAAATTTACCATAAAAATCTATATTATATGCAGAAGTTTGGACAGTTACTAGTCTACAGGTATACATTATTAGTTATTGTAGGCGAGACAAGTTTCTGCAATATTTATACCTAACAAATACCCACAAGAACTACACTTATGCATAAAAAAAATATTACTAAACCTAGATCTAGTAAACTAGCCTGCAATCTCCATTCATGTTATTCTTTTATTACTAGAAATGTACATTTAGTTACAATATGTTGTTAAGTACACCATATGCTAACCTTCTTCTAAATGTATAAATATAATTTTTGAGTATACTGATAATTTATCATCAAAATAATTAACATGCCTATCCGCATCGAAAATCTGTCATTTCCGAGAATTTCTAAAAATATGACAGTGTGCCCTGACGCTACTCTTAGCTATTCGTTTAAACATTGACCTAATACAAAGACAATTTATTTAAAATGGAATAAATAGAAGTTAAGCACACTTACCTGACTATTGAAGATGCCAATATAAAATATTTGGACTTAAAAACTTGAATATTAATGTAAAACGAGAAAAAAAATGAGAACCATATGAGATCTGTTACTTCACGATTTTGAATAACCGATACAGGAAGAGATTGAAAACAGCGCCGCACAGTTAATTTGAGAAAAACTTCGATCCAGCCAACTACCGGTGGCTTAGGGGAAATAATACTATTAATTATATTAATACATTTAAAGATTCAACTTAGATTAAAAATAATACAGAAGCTTAATTAAAGTGGTACTTGTAAGTACCGTCAGTAGATAAAGGGTTAAATATTATAAAGTCTTCCGATTCTCTATAGCAAATAATTAAATGTAGTGTGAAATGAACTTGACAAAGTAAGTTTTGTTAATTAATTTATTTTATAATGAAAGTGGTAAGAATTTCAAAGGGGTAAATATATTAAAATAATGACTGATATTCTGATTAATGGACCGAAAGGAAGCAAACGTAAATAAGGTAAATGCGAATAAACTTTTAGACCTACTACAAAATATGTCAAATAATTTATAATACATTGTTTTCTTGATTCAATCACACAAGATGTTTTAATCAATTCTCACTCACAACTTACCAACACAGTTCAATTGTGTGTCTTTGTCAAGCACGAGATCATATGGACATACACATTGTTCTTCGCCAATACCCACGATCGTACAAGCGTGCGAACATTTTAATATTGTGCACTCTGTGCTTACTGTTTAAAAAAAAAAAGATAAATTTAAAAAAAAATCACAACTATTAATTAGATTAAGTTTGTAATAAGGAAAGAACGAACATTTACAGGTCTATGTTTTTTCTTCCATTTACAGTAAACTGACAGATACAAATTGTAATTAATTTTAGGTACTTCGAAGAAAACTAAGCAACAGATCATTGATATAATAAGTATAAATCAAGTTTAATACGCTGTTATTTGTACTTACCATCACACGTTGCTGTTGTTGCATTCATCACATAACCTGGTCGGCATGTGCATGTGTAACTGCCAGGAGAGTTTAAGCAGAAGGAGTTTTCTGGGCAGACTTTTTTGTTTGTTGCCAGACATTCATTTACGTCTACAGAACAATCTCCCGTGGTCCAGCCAGGCTTACAGATACACTCGCCATTGGTGTTGTCACAGAACTGGGTGTTGTCTTTCACACATTTACAGTTGGTGTCACATGATGTCAGGCCATAGGTGAAGCTTCGGCAAACTAAATGGCAAGTGGATTTTTAAATTTCCTTTATATTGACAAATGTTTTTCTTTATATAGTAAATCTAAAGCTTGTTGAATTATGATATTCAGGCTTTAACAAATGTATTATGAAATGAAAAAGGAACATTTATAACAAACATATTCGTAAAACATCTTAGAATTGAAATGTGAAATAAATTCTTACCGTGCGACGTGTAACTGCCGACAAAATATCCATAATAAGAGTAATAATTGTTTATGTAATTAATGTACATTTGGTTTCCCTTAGTCCTGATTATACTTGGCATTCCATAAGCACAATAACGACCAATAAATCTTCCAGCGGGGCTGATCCCATCATATGCTTCTAGGTAAGATGATGAGCATTTGTAATCAGATTCAATGTAAAACCCTGAAAACCTGCAACAATATTGTATTTTTGTTATTTTTTATTTCATAGTTTTATACATGTAAAATTTTCTGAGAAAATGTATACATTATATTAATTGGATTATTTTAAACATATAGGGTGTTGGTAACTAATAAGCTTCTATTAGAAATTTCAAATTTTAAAATATTTTACTTTTGAACTTAAATTCCATTTAAAACCAGTTTGAACGTATAGAAAATCAAATATATACTTTAGTAATAACATTTATCAGTGTGAAATATGAAGAAATGCATTAATTTCAACAGCCATACCTAACAGAGATAACTTTTCCCGTTTCAGCATTTATTGACCAGCTGCAGTTAGCATTGCGGACTCGGTCATATGGACGATTAGGATTTATTATTTCTGTCGAGTTTGTTAAAGTATGGCTGCAGCCTGATGGAGGTAAAATATTTTGAAATTAAATCTGCTCAAGGCTGCAAAATATTTTATAAACTTATATATAGGCTTATAAATTTACAATGCTGCCTCTAAATAATCATAAAAATTGGAATTTACATTCTTTATAATTAATGTTTGTTACTGGTAGAACTGAAGGGTGAATTTCTATAGGAACATAAACTGTAATTTGAATTTAGTAGCCAGATAATACACTGTTGATAATTTTTATTAATAAAGGAATAACTACACCCCCTACATTAAAATAGTGACAAATACTCTGTTTTGGTTATATTTAATTGTAAGGTTTATATCTAAAAAAAAGTAACACAGCTGCGTCTGCAATGGCTAAACCATGTTTGCTTGTTGATTGATTCGAAACAAATAACCAATAAATATTGAAATCAATAAACCAATAACCAAAAATAGACTTCATACTGAAAGAAATAATTGCTTCCCAAATTAGGATTAAAAGAATTTTACGGTAAAAGGTACCGAATAAGAGAGTTTGATTATATATGTATATATATATATATATATATATATATATATATATATATATATATATATATATATTTATATATATAAATAAATATATATATATATATATATATATATATATATATATATATATATATATATATATATATAAAGCTCAATTCTGTATGTAAAGTGTAATATGTAAAGAGTAAAATGTTTGTCGTGGATACTTCTATGGATTTAAGTGTTAGATTATTATAGTGCTCACGGTCTAAATTTAATCTAAGTTAAAAAATTACTATTGAAAGTGTTGGGAAATAATTTTCATTTTTAAAACTGATAGTAATAATTGTTTGCATATTCGTTAAACACAATTTTAAAAGAAATATCATCTTTTACAAAAACTCTAATTATGTCTGAAAATTATTTATATTTAGTCCTTTAGCACTTACTTCCCTTTGATAAATTAGGAAAACACAATTACTTCCCTTTATAAAACATTGCATTAGTGGAAAAGAATTTACTTTTTATTACTTTGTTTTGGTGTTGGGAAAAAAATAATTACATAATTAGCGGGGATTGATCAAATGCAAATGTTGTAGGTATTTTACGGATAAGCTTGGAGTATTATAAGTGTTCATTAAATTGAAACAGGCGCGTCCGCCTGCGCCCCACCAGGGTTCAATTTGGCGCCCTGGGCTATCCTGTGAGCGCTATGGTGCATAATTTCGGTTTAAACAGTGCGATAGAGTATGGATGTATAGTCTTTCAGTAAATCGAATCCGATCGTCCTCTGGCGCCCAGACAGGGTGCTATTTGGGGCCCCGGGCCTCCCATGTTCGGTTTGGCGCCTACGTTCGTTTAAGTGAGTGCAAAAGACTATGAATAAGTTGGGGTACTATAGTCGTTTATTAAGCTGAAACAGGCGATTCCGCCCCAGGCTAGACTGTGAGCACTTTGCGTTTATGTTCGTGTTAGTGTTTTCTTTGTGTTTAGGTTGGGTTTGCGTTAGTGGTTGCGTTTTGATGTTGTTCGTTTTTGTTCTTTCTTTTTCGTTTTCGTTTGTGTTATTTCTTTGGGTTTGTGTTTGTATTTGTGTTTGTGGTTGGTTTTGCGTTTGGATTTGGTTTGTTTTCGTTTGCTTTTTCGTTTTTTTTTTCTTTGTGTTCGTATTGGTGTTTGTGGTTGTGGTTGGGTTTGTTGTTAGGTTTTTGTTTTCGCTTGCTTTTTGTTTGTTTTTTTCTTTGTGTTTGTATTGGTGTTTGTGGTTGTGGTTGGGTTTGTTGTTAGGTTTTTGTTTTCGTTTGTATTTGTAATTGTGTTAGCGTTATGTTTGCGTTTTGTTGTTTTGGTTTTGGTTGGTTGTGGATTTTATATATATATATATATATATATATATATATATATATATATATATATATATATATAGGCCTATATTATGCATGTATGATAACATAAAATAATTGATTTCACAGAAGGCTTCTGTGAAATCAATTATGAGTGCCATGAATCTTTGGGAAGTTGTTGAGAATACCCCTGGGGACATTTTTGCAGGAAAAACAAATTCAAATTCGCAGGGGAGGCGCCCCGGCAGGGTGCAATTTGTTTTTTTCTCTATATGCGGTATACAAAAATATAATTCGATTGCGGTTTGACATCCTTCATCCGATCGCCGTATAACTTTTTGTAGTTGATATAAACACTCCAGATGAGGTTTCTGCAAACAAAAAAATCTCTTTTAATTTCGCTTTCGTTAGCGGCGCCCCGTGAGGGTAAAATTTTTCTCTGTATACTTTAAAAAACAAAATAAAAGTCGGATGTGGCTCAACACCGTTCATCCGATCGCCATAAACTTTAAATAGCTGTTGAGAATACTCCTGGGGAGGTATATATATATATATATATATATATATATATATATATATATATATATATATATATATATATATGTATATATTATACATTATATATTTAAATATATGTATACAATATATATACAATATATTTTATTACATATTTAAGTATATTTTTACCTAAATGCTGACAGGATCCATCGCTTGATTCGTAATACCCATACTGGTTGAAACATGGACATAAATACCCTCCATACGTGTTTTGACAAAGGCTGTTTTCGCGGCAATTGTATGGTCCATAGCTACATTCATCGTAGTCGTAAGCACAGTTATACCCAGTAAAATTTGACATGCAGTTACAAGTGCCAAACTTTGTATTACAGGTGAGTGTGTTGTCTCGGACACAAGGACAAGCACGTGAACAGTCGGGTCCATAGGTAAGATTTCTACAGTCTGCGAAAAATACAAAATTGATTTTAACAAAATCACAAGTAGCAGACTATGTAATTATATTATAACACTGCCACGGTGGGGATATTGGTAGTAGACACCCACTAGGTTAAGTGCGGTTAGGGGCTGACCAGAGGCGTAGTGACCCTTCCCAACGCCCGGGGACAAACTTTTGATTTGCACCCCCCCCCCCCCCCCTCTCCAACTTTTGATTTGCACCCCCCCCTCAAACTTATAATTTGTTTTTCCAACCCATTTTGGCGCCCCCCCCCCTAAGGTTGGCGCTCGGGGACATATGCCCCCCCCTGGCCGCCCCCCTCGCTACGCCTCTGGGTCTGACTCATAGATCACAACGACAATGCCAAAAACGTTGCTAACGTGAATACCTAGACTGATGTGGTGTTTAACTGCATATTATATGTTGTCTTAGATGACGTAATGGAAACAAGAACGGAATTAGATAAAAACATATGCAGAGGCTTAAACACAATTCAATCTAAATGCTCTTCACATTGTATTATCTACTAATTTGTAGTGTATTTCGAAGCAACTCAAAATTTTCACCACCCAGACATAGGCGTAGCGACCCTTCCCGGCGACCGGGGACAAACTTTTCGATTTGCACCCCCCCCCCCACTCGAGATTTTGATTTGCACCCCCCACTCGAACTTTCGATTTGCACCCCCCCTCTCGAGATTTTGATTTGCACCCCCCCCCCCCTCAAACTTTCGATTTGCACCCCCCCCCCCTCGAGATTTTTATTTGCACCCCCCCCCCCCTCAAGATTTCGATTTCCACCCCCCTCAACCTTTCAATTTATTTTTCCAACCCATTTTGGCGCCCCCTAAAGTCGGCGCCCGGGGACATATTCCCCCCCGCCCCCCCCCCCTCCCCCTCCCTCGCACTACGCTACTGCACCCAGAAGCCTTATGATAATATTATGTTTGTTCCTTAAAGTTTCGGGTGTTGAGACTATTGTTTCTACTAGTATAGCTGCCATAGAAGCTACTGCTATCATCCAACTCGTTTAATAGTGACAAAAGAAGTCAAACTATTTTTTTCCAGGGTCCTCTAAATGATTAGTTTTCTAAGCGACTGTTGCGTTTCTCATCATCATCATTCCCGTGGACCCCTTGTAAAGCATTGTGACGTAAAGACACATCGTACTCGGTTCTGGGCTCTCTACGTCCAAGTTGTGTGGAAGGTAATTTTGTTTTTAAGAATTCGTTAAGTCCTGACAGAGAACAACTGTGCGCAATACGCCTTTTAGCCTCCCTATTCGATCGCTTGTCAAGTTCGTAAGGCAGCTTTCATTGTAGTTTTCTGTTTAAGTTTTCGTCGCATCAGAAAAACCCTCTCGGGCGCCTCGGAAGGGGGTCGTGACTCACAGTTTGGGAATCGGTAAACAAAACAGATAACCAAAATATCTCTAGTACTCAAGAAGCGGCACTAGTACATATAATCTTTACTATGTCATCGGGACATGGAAATTAATCTACCACCAATATCCAGTTGGGCACATGACAAGAAAAAAAACCAAATTCGCTTTGCTCACTAGAGCAAACAACAAACAGAAGTTTAGGTCTCAATTCAATCAAATCGCTACAACCGATTATGTTCATTGGTAACAAACTATAAGGGATGTTACAACTATCACACTGTAGCTTCACGTTCTTCCTTGAGCAGCATTATTCAGGCATTTTATTATGAAATTAAAAAAACCATGTATGTTGTCGCGTTGGTTGTTTGGTTGATTTTAAAAGATTGTGCGTGTTTTAGGAAAATAAAAATCTCAGATGGCGTCAGAAGGTAAGTTATACACGTTTGGCCTTTTTATAATTTCTTTTAATAAAATAAGTGTGAGCATATAGATAGAGTCAAATCAAGCAATTATTTTAGCTTAATGTTTTATAAAATAATTTTAATATCTTTGTAATTATATGTAATTTTAAAAATTACTAGCTGCTCTATCAAATGTGTTTAACACCACATAGTGTGTATGTTGGTACTGCTTTTCTATGTGCGTTAAATTTAAAATGATACCTACCAATACATTGATCTTCAAGTAGTTCCATGCCAATAGGACAATAGCATCTCTCTTCTGGTGAACTTTGACCTTGTGGTGTTATGTTAACACAGACATGTGAGCAGTTTCTAACCCCAGGTGTAGGACATTCAGCGCCTGGACTTACTGTTGATTAATTATTTTTAATTTTGATCATTATTAATTACATGGAATAAAAAATGTTTTCTACATAACATATTTTTTTCTTATGTGTAAGGTATAAAAGATCATGTCAGTTTGTCTGAAAATAAAATAAACACGAATGATGTACTAAAATATCGTGGTTGAAATCTAGTTTATTACATTTTATAATACCTATTATGGTTGTTAACAGTTGAAAATCTTCATGACACTTGAAATAATATTCCACATTATCTAAAATTTAGCAGCCCAGAGAGAAACATGGGCCTAGAACTTACACCTTCAAAATTAAGCTAGCTGAATATATTAATATCTTTATAGTAATATGCATCTTTTTGTTTTATTTTTCTGGATACAAATAACCTAAGTGAAAAATAATTCAGTGGTAAATTATTCAAGAATCTTACATATTACTGTAGAGAGGTTTTACAGCTACACTTCTTAAAAATAAGAACTAAGACTAGTGTAGACCTATGCTTTAAATCATATATTTTGTATTATAATAGCCTGACACACTATGTCTTCTCTCACTTACCGATGCACTGCGAGTTGTCAGGTGATTTCACAAGCCCTTCTTTGCATAAACATTCGTAGCTGCCATTAAGATTGTTACAATTAGAGTAGTCTGGACATATAACGGGGTTCTGTTCACATTCATTGATGTCCACTGAGCAGTCT